CTCCATCGCAGCATTGTCGGTTTGGCTCTCACCCTGGGCTCGCCCAGTTCTCAGCACAAATCGTATTCAGAGAGGAAGCCGAGGCCTCATCGGGCACGCGTAGCCGAGAGGGAAGTCACCTGACGCTTCAGACACCAGCCCTCGTGTAGCATTGTTGCGCTTCGTCACTTCAGGGCATTGCGGTGCGATGCATCTGCGCTCGCATCCATGAAGCGCTCCTTTCCACAATGTCAGCATCAGGCATTAGTAGAAGTTGCAAGGACAGTCCTCACAGCAGCATTCAGGTTTAACACGATTAAATGCGTGCCTTCACATTAACAGAAAAGGCAAACCCAAGACTGCAGAAGCTCACGTCTCTTTCCTGCGTCTCGAGTTGGTCAGTTCAGACATGGTTGCTGCTGCTAACACGATCATGAAGAGGCAAAGGCTGGTGTAAGACAGTCTGAGAGTCTCACTCTGTCATGGGGGAAAAAATTAAAATTGTGTGCGTATGTATTAAACCGACGCTCTTTCTGCACACACGAAATTAGAACGGGGTGCAGAGTTTTTCCTCAATAACATCTATTAGAAATTAATATTGCTCCAAGCAGCAATGAGCACACAGCGGTAACTTTATTATCCGGCTCAGGATCGGTCGGCGCGGTGCACGATCGAGAGCGCTTTGATCGAGTTCGGGTAGCACAGGACGCGAGTGCTACGGCTCATTCTGTCAGCGTCGGGCGTATCTCTGAAAAGAGCCAGGAAAAAAAAGCAATAGCAAAGTGACCACGTCTGGAAAAATAGATTAAAAAATACAGATGAATCCAATGTTTTGTAGCCCATGTCAGAGAAACGCTCGAGTCTCACAGCAGTGTAATCTACACCTTCTCTTACAGTCCTCTTCAGTTTGCAGATACGCTCTCTCCAAATGAAATTCCATCACATTTTCTTGCAGCGAGATGATCATAGCTCTCAGAATGAGCCCCGTGTCTGCAGGTGGTGGCATACATAAACACTACGTAGACGTAGCTGTTTTACATGACCGCTTGATTGAATTCAGCACGGTGCGACTGCACAGACGCAGGTGGTACGAGTAGGACACCAAAGTGGTAACACTCGCACCGGTAGTGTTGGTGGGAGCGAATGTATTTCCCCACCGGGGTTACCAGACGCCACCGTTTCCCTTCCAACACCTCAGCGCTCGGTTCGCCGGCTCTCCGCTTCTTTCTTTCTCTATACATTATAACTCCTTAGACAGAGGTGAGGTTGCTATTGGTATGCACAGACAACACCGGCAGATTCACCACCCAGAATACCACTGGGAGATTATACCCTTCCTGCTCCACGCAGCAGGGATTCGGCTACCGTAAATAGAGCGCTTGGGAGTGTGCTGTGTGCCCAGAATGACAGAGCACTGCAGTGGCTGAATACTCCAGCCAGACGGCGAGCACAAACTCAAGGACTGCCGCAAATACAGTAATCTCTCATGCTTTTGGTTGTGGTTTTTACCTTTTTCTACAGGGACTCAGAAATCGTCGCGCTGGAGATCCATCTGGCTGATTGTCAGCGTGCACTGGGCAGCCGTTGGGGCATGCAGGACATGAGCTACAGACAAAATCTGTTGGACTTTAGAAAAGAAAGCATGAGGCCAGAGTGGAAAAATAATAAAAAAGCTGCTCACAGGAACCGTGCATCAGTCAAGACAAGAATTTGGGCCTACTTATAGTTTTCAAAGGAGAAAATTGGGCCATTTATTTGCTTTTTGCTCAAAGATTAAATGAGTTTATTAATAAATAATTCATTGTCTGCTTGTATCAAATCTTCCGAGGGACGTAAGTCGTAGCAGCGCGTTAGCATGCCGATTGTATCATGAATAAAAAGCAGGAGTTCGTCTAAAGGCTTATGCAGAATCAGACAAAACCTGAATGACAGTGAGAGAGGTAATTTGAACGAGTGTAATGACTCGCTGTTGCTATGGTGTGCAATGACACACAGTGGAAACACAGACGCAGCACAGTGAAATCCAAGAGGAGAAGCGCTTCGGCACGTTTTAGCAACAAGCTACCGATTACGTTACGACGGGATAATTAACGCAAGTGTGCGCCAAACTTTTTTGTTTTTTAAGGCGACGTTAATACAAGTTTAATTAAAACATTTCATGGTCATTTTCAGTTTTCATCATCGAGTATTAGCAGCTTCTCTTTTTCTCCTCCACATCCCGATTTCCATTTGTCTTACGTTTGACCCATTAAAACTGCATCTGTGCATTTGACTTAATATGGGCACGGAGGGCTGTCTTAATTAATAAGCAGGCATCCACCAAACTAATCTGCCTGTGTTGTGAAGTCTGTCCTTTCCATTAAGTGGGACTCACATTATCTCCTAATCAAATTAGTCACTTAATTGTGGCCCTCCCTTGATGGATCCCATGAAAAAAGGAGTGCCGTGTTTGCTGCAGGGGGATGTGTGAAGATGGAACACGGCTGTTTCATTACGATATGAATTTTTTAATAACCAAAGCGTTCACTGTCATCTTCTTGCTTTGAACCTTGGCAAAGGGTGAAGTTGAATTTGACATTTTATCCACTCACACAGTTGAGTGTCTGGCTGCTGTGTTGGGGCTAAGTACCATAGCCCAGGGCCACTACCCAATTGCCCAACAGGGGATTGACCCCTGTCATCCACTGATCACTAGTCTGCTTTCTTAATCACTCCCCCGCATTGTCTACTGCACTACTTGATCTCAGTCGATGCATTAACTCCTTCATCCCTCTTAGAGCTGCTATTCCCCAAGTCGTGATTAAGGAGTGAAATCTGATGTTACCAAAGATTTCGCTCCATCCGTCCATCCTTGGACAGATTGGCTCCTGAGGGGAGGGTCTCTAGTTTTAAGGAGCCAAGTCCGCCCCTGCGGCGTTACAGCGCGGGCGCGGTGGCCGGGGGAAACCCCGGGTCCTGATGAATGGAGGTATGTGTGGTCGTTTGTCCCGCTGATTGAGTTTTATCCCCTGCCCTTTCACAGCAGCCAGACAATAAAGAGAGCCACATCCAAGCGTGACAGGTTAACCTAACAGTAATAGAATACTCTTAATAGTCTGGCCTCAGCCAAAGTCCATGGCGGAGACGTCCAAATAGCCAAGCTTCCTTTGTGGCGGGAGTGGAGGTGCGAGGGGGGGGGACCGGCTCTCGCTGTTGTTGTGTGATGGAAGCAAGGACAAAGAGGGCAGCTTGATGGCTTAATGTGCGGTTTGATCGCTTCGTTGGGTGAAATTGAAGTTAGTGAGAGCGACCAAACACAAGGGAGGGGGTGTTATTTTCAAAATGGAAATTAGTCGTATACGAGCGTGACATCGACGCGCCGTATCGCTTAAATATTTTATGGGAATCCTCGAGCCTTTGCATTGGTGCAGATGCCGCGACACGGCGGCGGCGGCGTCTGCACAGAAAAGCACAATCAAAGTGAGCGAACTGTCAAAGGAGATTTGGATGATGTTGTCATGACGTTGACATGAACGTGTCTGTTTTCTGGCAGATAATCTTCACAAAGAGAATCCTCCGGGCTACACGCACCCGCGCAGGCAGAGCCTCTGACTGTTTGTTTCTGTTGCACCTCCGCTCGCAGTTTGTCATGTCTGACTCGGGCTTTAATTAGGCCTGCGAATTGAAGCGGCGGCAGCAGCAGGGCTGGGAGCCCTCTGTCCACAGCTCAGCCGTCCTCCACGGTGTCTCCTCGGAGGACCTCTCTGCTCTGTGTGGTTAAGATAATAGAGGCTCGCTCGGAAGATGTTAATTGAGGGGAGATAAAGTGCAGTAGTGGCTGCGGGGATGCACGGAGCGGGGGTGGAGGGGAAGGAGGGAGAGCTACCTGATTAGAGGCTGAGGTGTTTGACTTACAGCTCTTCTTTTGATGATGATATATGTAGCGCGAGATTTTTCAAGGAGAAAGACAGAAACGCACAAGGAGGAGCCTGAGAGATAGTTATTAAAGTTTTCCCCCGGGGCGTTTCTGTTCTTCGCTGTGCCGTTACTAAGTTATGTTCTCGGGTTTGAGTCCAGTTTCGAGGAGATTTTTGGGGGCTCAGACGGATCTGGCAGCCGTGCAGACGGGCAGGGAGAGAATCAACTCTACCTGGGCCTCGGATGTTGAAGCAGAGATGGAGGTGATCTGACCGAAACAGCTGAAGTGACAGAAGCTACATTAATAGTGGCATATGTCTGGAGCAGAGAGAAACTAAAAGGGAGAGAAAACAGACTCTCCACCCGCCCGGGAGAGGATGAAGGGAACGAGAAAGAGGAGGGGAGGACGAAAAAAGCAGAAAACAGTGCCAGCAGCCTCTATAATTGCCTCGATGCCGCTGGGATTGCTTTCATTCAATTGAAGCATTCTCTTTCTCTGTACATCGGAGGTGGAGATGGAGGAGGAGATGGAGGGGAGGAGGGGTCGGGCCGGGTGGCGTGGGCGGGCGGGAGATCCGACGGTGCCCTCCCTCTCCCAGCAACATACAGTGATGAGGGCGATAGCTCCCCTGTAGCGGCCGAATCTCTGGCATCAGTGTGAGCAACAGAGAGAGCGAGCGAGCGAGATTTAGTGTTTGTGAGAGAGAGAGAGAGAGCAGAGTACTGTGGAAGAGTGAGGCAGCGATAAGGAGGTAGGTGGACCACAGATCAGACCTGTCAGATGTGATTGCGCGGCCAAGTGCAACCCCGCATGTGAGCGTGTGTGTGTGTTTTTATATTTCCCAAAGACAACCAGCTTCCCCGCCCCCTTTCATCACAACACACACAAACACAGCATCGCTGCCCAAACACACGCACATTGCTCGAGGAATCCTTTTATTTCTTTATTTGGGCTCCTGTTGGTGCGTGCCTTAGATGCTCAGCTCCCTCCTCCTCTCTCTTCTTCTTCTCCTCCTCCTCCTTGTCCTGTTCTTCTCTCCTCCTCCTCCTCCTCTCCCCTCTCGCTTTGCCGCTCTCTCACAGCGTCGGTTTTCTTTTTTTTTCTCCTCTTCAATCTTGTGCAGGTTGTATCTGACGGAGGGACCGGTGCCGCGCTCCCATCCCCGCGCTCCTTCAGCAACAACACTGTGAGTATTCTCATGCTAATTTGGCTTCTCCAGCCTTCCCAACATCGGTTTTGTCTATTTCGCTTTCTTTTTATTCTTTGCCTCTTTTATGTTTTCATCCGTCGCGCCAAACACAGCGGCGGCAGCAGCGGGAGAAGCAGCGCGGGAAGGGAGAAAAAGAGGAATGAGAGAGGACATGCACAGAAATACAGAGAGAGGAGAGGAGAGGGGAAGGCAGAGAGGGAGGGGGGGGGAAAGGGATTTCTGCCGCCGCCGCTGCGAGCAAGCCGCTCTGCTTTCGGAGGTGTTTCTCCTGGAGGATGGTGGAATTGCCGAAGGGATGTAGGGGGCGGGTCTTGGTTTTGTGAGTAGATAGTTGTGCGAGAATGATAGGGGATGTTGTTGACAAGCATAGAGTGGCTCATCAGACAGCCGGGCAGCTGGAACCAAGGTTTTCTCTGTTGACTAAACTTCTGATTCATCCGTCACTTTCCATATTTACACGCGCACGCAGATAGATGCTTCTCCTCTTTCTTCTTTCTTTTTTTAACCGACGTCGCTCTCGTTGTGGAGCGAGGACTTTTGCGCCGCCGTTGTTTTTTTCTGGTGATGCCGTGCAGATGGAGGATGAATTGTAGATGGATGTTGCTCCTGGTCCAAGATGTGCTAAGCATATGCGTGTGCCATTCATAGCCTCAAACGCACTTTAATGACTACAGTAGCAGATGCACGAGTAGGATTTTCTTTTTAATTCAGCGTTTGTGCCCACGTACCATTAGTTGTGACGGGGTTTCAGTTTTTTAAAGAGGAAAACGCGTTACTACAGAGCTGTGCATGCCTAGAGTGCAGTGATTGTGCCTACTGTACACAATAAAGGGTAGTCAGTGTGTGTGTGGGTGCAGGGAGGGGGGGTCAGGAAGTCAGCGTCCATCCGTACATGCTGCTCTTTGATCAGAGGGCCACGTTTAGTCTGCCCACGACATGTGTCTGAGCCATATGAAGAGTGGGTGGGTGTGTGTGTGTGTGTGACGGAGCCAAGACGGGCCCTGTGCCCTCACTGCAACACCATAGCTAATGGGCACACGGGTCAGCAGGGTTGGACGCTCCTCCGCTTGTGCAGATATGTCAGCAATACTAAAAAGCCTGCGAGGCCTTCACGGCAACTCACGAAAACACCGATCTTTGCGAGGCAAAAAAAAATGCCCATATTGGGCCAACAAAACGCTCACAACACACTTTGGCAGATTCATTTGGCAGAGTGAAAGGGATTGATCTGAGCGTGGCAATTAGGCAAATTTCAGAACTAAGCATCTGGCGAGGCGAGAACGCTTTGCCTGGCAGAGGATTACCATTTTAGTTCCATTTTCAGACAACGCAGCCCAGAATGTGTTATTTCACAGCACTCCAGCAGCACAGCGGCTCGGGCGAAACCCGGCGAGCACATGAAGGATCTCTGTGCAACGTTTCTGCTGTGTATGTTGATTCCCACAACCTGCAAAGTCGAAGCAGCGCGCTGATTAATCGCGATTAGGTTTAATATGCGTGTTCGAAAGCAGTGGCGGCCCGGCCTCCCCTTTCCTCTGCCTTTATGAAAATGAATCGTCGGAGTAAAATGCCTGGGATGATAGCAGCCTGCCGATGAGCTTGCTTTCTAAAGTAGGCTGATATAAATGAGAACCATTCCCCCAATTACGGAAGATTAGGTTACCCTCCACCAATCTGAATCCTTAAATCCCTTCTGTTTTTACAGCTCTGTCTGGCGAATGTAATTCAGCCTCGAGACCTGGGCAGAATAGCAATAAAAGAAGGTAGAAACTTTAGCAGTGAAACCCAGGCAGTAAAAATATCCATTGGGAGAGAGCTAAAGCACATGATAATTGACACTGCGCTGTGTTGCAGTTGGCTGTAATTAACTGTGTAACAGAGGTTGTCAGTCGGAAAGAGAGAAAGCCCCGACTATCTTAGTGCATTTAACACACTTGAAAGTGCAACGTTTATCGTGTCTTTGCAGCTTTCACCGAGGGTGCGTTTCAGGTTAGCGGGGGCCTCTCGCCTGTATTTATCCAGATCTTTTACTACAGGCCCAGTCAGACATTACGCGCCGCTTCCTTTATCCTTTGTTCGACAGTTTCAGTGCATGAAAAATCAAAAGGAGCCATTGTTTCTGGGGCGAGCGCAAAAAAGCTTATCATCTATTTTTAGTGCGCTTTTCCTCATTGTTGCCTGGGCCACGATTCGTGCTTACGTCTAGCAGGAGTGTGCCATAAACTATGTTGTGCTTCGCAGCCAGGCGCTGGCTGCGGTGACAACTCTCACCCACACGCTAGTGATCTATGAGCCATATAGCACCGACCCCCTGCCGCCTCGCCAGCCGCTTTCGAACGCGCGCGACCGCAGCAGTGTCGTTCTGCCCGCGTGATAGCACCCATATGCGCGCGGAGCACCTGTATTAACGTGACGCGCTAAGCCTTTATTTCTCATCACTTATCACAAGCCGCTACACGCTGTACTGAAAAGGAGGGGAAAAAGCTCATAAAGATAAAAATCACATTTCACTAGAGGGTGCTTGTGTGACAGTGATATATGCTGTGAGCATCCTGCCACCTCATTGAGATGGGAGTGAGTTCTGGGTGGGTAAATCAATTTGTGCAAAGGCTGTTGGCGCTAGTATTGGTTTCGTGATATGATCTTTGCTGTCCGTTTTTAGAGGTCAGCGAGAGCGCCACGACAAGGGCGAAAGAACCTGACCGCGTTCTCTTGTTCCTGGGCTGCTAAATGATCTACACCAAGAGGATTGTGGGTAATCAAAAAAGTATACACATGTTTTTCCAGGTGTAGGCGCTATGGATTCTCTATTAAGAATGCACGCTCATCCATTATCGCGCGTGTCTTGATAGAGTATCCACAGCCAGAGGCGAGCTCTGTCTGCGCATTAATCGGCGTAATTACTCAGCGAAGGTGACGGTGATTATGGAGGTGCGTCTGAGTGCAGATACCAGTGGGAAACTGGGGAGGGGGGGGGACCTGGTGGTAGACCTGTCAATAGGTGAGCGCAACTCTCATCTCTGGGATCTCTGGTCGGGAAGAAACGACAGGGAGCCATTCCCTGGTGTCCGCCTCGTGGCGTATCACGTAAAAGACTTTATCTTATACCGCCGAGAACTACTTTGAGCTTTCGCCGTCAGTTCAGAACATCCCTCGTTCGCCCTCTTGAAATAATTTTTAACTCTACTCCAAAGTCAAGTACCCAGCGGACCAAAACAAGTCAAAATGCATGTTTGAAAAAGAAAAAATAAGAACCAGAAATAAAATAATGCTAAAAACTATGATTCATACTGACTCAGTCTAGTAATATTTGGAGTATGTGTGAGAGTAAAACAAGCTCTTTGAGCTTTGGCTGGGAACAGCATTTCCACTTTAAGAGTTTTAATCCTTTTGTTAGTAAGATACTGATCTCGTGACTGAATGGAGAGCTCAGTTAATGCTTCAGCCACATGAGAGTAAAAATAGGACGGCGACCTTCTTGTGACCAGGAAAAAAAATGGTTGCACAATGATTGCACGTGATGGTTTAGCAATAGCCTCAACCTTGGCAACGGTTATCGATCGACTCCAAACGACTCTGAGTCTGATTGGTGAAGGTTTACAAACCATTAGCATCTCATTTATAAATGCACGGTTTGCGACACATGCAACAGGGGACTCGACTCAACTGGTTATGTTCCTATATGAAAGCATGCTTACCTCAGTGCAGAAACTACCATTTGTCACAATTTGTGAAGGAAATTCGCTTTCCCATCTCTAAAATTACATGTGCAGATTTGCAATTTTCGCCGACTTATAATTTACTTGTCATATTATCATTGATTGCATGCAATTGCCAACTTGAGTCCATCCAGTCACAAACTAAAAGCAGA